CTGACACTGTGCCAACACATCTCATTGGGAGGCTTCCTCATTTTCTCTAACCCTCCATTTTACTCAACATGATATCCTTCTCCAGGGACTGGTCCTTCCTGACAATATGTCCCAAGTGTGAGAGAAGAACTTGGACCATCCTGGTTTCCAAGGAGCATTCTGGCTGCACTTCTTCTGACACAGATTTTTTGGTTCTTTTAGAAGTCCATGGCACTTTTATGATGTTGGAGGAGCATTTTAAAAGTACCATGGACTGCTAAAAGAACAAACAAATCTGTGTTGGAAGAATACATCCATTTGTCTACAGTCTTCCTTATTCACAGTCCAGCTTTCGCATGCATATGTGGTTATTGAATATACCATGGATTGGGTCAGGTGCACCTTAGTCCTCAAACTGACACCTTTGCTCTTCAACACTTTAAAGAGATCTTATGAACTGATTGGTCCAGTGCAGTATGTTGTTTGATTTCTTGACTTCTGCTTTCATGAGTGTCGATGGTTGATCTGAGCAAAAGGAAGTCTTTCACAACTTCAATCTTTTCTCCACTTATATGAATGTTATTTATTGATCCAATGGTGAGGATTTTTGTTTTCTTTACATTGAGGTGCAACCCATATGGAAGGCTGTGGTCTTTGATCTTCATCATTAAGTATTTTAAGTCCTCTTCACTTTCAGCAAGCATGGCTGTATCATCTGCATATCACAGGTTGTTAATGAGCCTTCCTCCAATCCTGACACCACATTTTTCTTCATATAACCCAGCTTCTCAAATTATTTGTTCAACATTCAGATTGAATAAGTGTAGTGAAAGAATGTAAACCTGGTACACACCTTTCCTAATTTTAAACCATTTGGTGTTCCCTTGTTCTGTTCGAACAGCTGCCTCTTGGTCTATGTATAGGCTCTCCATGAGCACAATTAAGTGTTCTGGAATACTCATTCTCTCAATGTTGTCCATAGCTTGTCATGATGCACACAATCGAAAAATCTTTGCATAGTCAATAAAACACAGTTAAACATCTTTCTGGTATTCTCTGCTTTCAGCCAAGATCCATCTGACTTCAGCAATGATATCCCTCGTTCTACATCCTCTTCTGAAGCTGACTTGAACCTCTGGAAGTTCTCTGTCAAAGTATGGTTGCAGCCGTTTTTGTATTATGTTTTGCATCTTCTAAGCATCTAAAATTCTAACTTTATTAAGTCATTTGAATGAAGAATTGCCCCATTTTAAGACTTGTTTTCTAAAAACATGCAAATATTTCCTCATGAAAGCTTTTAGAGGTAAAGTCAGTCAATCATGCTTTGAAAACTTAACTTAGAATCAATTCCTTCCTAACTGGAATTATGGAGCAATATGGAAAAATTTGTGAGCCTTCCCAGGTCAAAAAAACAATCTACCAAATCATACCAAATGACATTAAAGATCTAAATTGACCTTGACATTCAATGTTCACAGAACAGTTGGACGTCTACAGCGGCTTGATGCTGAAATGCTGAGTGTGGTTCGCGGAGGAGCTTGGCCATACCACTCTCGCTACTAGGGGTGCGTTCTGCCTCTTTAAAAACTCCCCGCAAAACAAATGTGGAATGCTAGTTCCCCTTTTGTCGTAAATGTGAAAACTCCCTTCTGATTTCTTTCCTTTATGGAAAACAGGTACTCATAGAGGTCTTTCATAAAAGACACGTGCATAAGTCACACTTCAGCAAAGTGGTAAATATTTGTTTATGATTCCCTGTATTTGGGTTTACTTGGCCTGGGTGGGAGTCTGAGTGGAAAAAAGGTTTTCCGTTCATGGGAAAACAGGAAAGTAATGGATCTGGGGAGGAAACTATTAACAAAATTTTTAATTAAATATTTTTTTTTGGAGGGCCAAGCAAAGGCAACTTCTTACGGCTGCAGTGGAGTAAATATTGTTGTTGTTGAATACCATAGAGTCGGTTCCGACTCATAGCGACCTTGTATAGGGTTTCAAAGAGCAGCCAACCTTGTGATTTGCAGTCCAGTGCTGATCCTACAGTGCTACGGCTGTTGTTGTTGTTAATGCCATTAATAGGGCCTGAATAGGGTTTCCGAGGAGCAGCTGGTGAGCTTGAACTGCCAACCTTGTAGTCGGCTTTGCAGTCTGGCGCATTCATCCACAGCGCCACACCAGAACTCCCACAGCGTCACAGTTGTTGTTGTTAAGTGTCGTCGAGTCGGTTCTGACCCATAGAGACCCTGAACAGGGTTTCCCAGGCTGTAAATCTTTACTGGAGCAGAAAGCCTCATCTTTCTTCCACGGAGCAGCTGGTAGTTTCGAACTGCTGACCTTACAGTTCGCAGCCCGATTCCACAGTTGTTGTTGTTAGGTGTCATCGAGTCGGTACCAACCCATAACGACCTTATGCACAGCAGAATGAAACACTGCCTGATCCTGGGCCAACCTCACTACTGTTGCCACGCTTGAGTCCATCGATGCTGCCACTTGGCCAATCCATCTCGTTGGGGGTCTTCCTCTTTTTCTCTGACCCTTCACCTTACCAAACATGATATCCTTCTCCTGATCCTTCCTGACAATATGTCTGAAGTATGAGACGCGAAGTTTGGCCATTTTGGCCTCCAAGGGAACCTCTGGCTGCACTTCTCAGAAAACTTTGAATGCAGCCGGCCAGCAGAAGTTCTCTAGTCAGCCACCAGATGACACCCTCAGCCAAATTACTGAAATAAATATGTTCCCTCCAAATTTAGAATGCTGCTGCTGGGAGACTATTGTGCGCCACCCAGGCGCTTGCTACTCTAGTGACTCTTTACAGCAGAGCAGAACTGCCCCGTAGCGTTTCCTAGGCTGTAATCTTTACTGGAAGGAGTCCTGGTAGCGTAGTGGGTTACTAGTTGGGCTGCTAACCATAGGGAGTTTGAATATACCAGTCGCTCAGCAGAAGGAGCTCTGGTAGCGTAGTGGTTACGAATTGGGCTGCGAACCATAAGGTCAGCAGTTCGAAACTACCAGCTGATCCGCGGGAGAAAGATGAGGCTTTCTACTCCCGTAAGGATTTACACCCTTGGAAACCCTGTACAGGGTCGCTATGGGTCGGAACCGACTCGACGGCACTTAACAACAACAACAACAACAACAGCAGAAGAAAGATGAGGTTTTCTGCTTCCGTAAAGATTAAAAGCCTCAGAAACTCTATAGAGGTCACTACGAGTCGGAACAGACTAACACATCACCTCCACCACCACCAGTCTTGACAGGACCAGATTAACAGGTTCATTCTCCTGCGGAACAGCTGGGTGCTGCGTCCATTGGTAGCATCAACCATTCTGTTAGCAGCCCAAGCGCTTAACTGTTGCCTCCAGGGCTCCTTGAGAGGAAGTTACCTAATCTTAATGGACTGGCTTTACAGCCAATGAACTGTAAGACTGGCTTGTCTGAGGGTATTAAGTCAGCCGCAGAACTGCAGTCTCTTGACAAGGAACCATCTCTCCGTAGCAGCCTGAAAGGAATGTTCTATAACCCAAAATGATATTTAAAATGTGTGTTGTTCTTGTTGTTGTGTGCCGTCGAGTCAATTCAGACTCATGTTGTTGTTAGGTGCCTTTAAGTCAGTTCTGACTCATAGCAACCCTGTGTAGGGATTGGGAGGAGTGAGTGTTGGTTTTAAACCACCAACATTTTGGTCAGCAGTTGCGGACAGCTGCCACACCAGGACAAAAGTTGCTGTTGTTTGAGTACAACTGACTGGCTTAAATGTCTTGCACTAGACTGAAAATTTAGGGTTGGTGGTTTCAATCCATCCATAGGTGCCTCGGAAGACAGACCTGGTTATCTGCTTCGGAAGGATCACAGCCTTGAAAACCCTAGCTAGTGTGACTCTGCACACTGGGGTCACCGTGAGTGGGAATCAATTTCATGGCAAAGATTTTGTTTGGTTCGAGGGAGATCTGGGGATCATTTAACTTTACAGGAAGGCAAGGTCACATGACCAGGCAGTGTTACAGCCATGATGACCGCCTGCCAGGGTGAGGGAGTCACCAGTGGACCCGGCCTTCCAGTACCTGGTCCACCAAAAATCAGTCTCCTCGCCTTTCAAGGCCGAAGCAGTTGCGGTCAGGAATCTAGATAATTTGATCCAGTTTTTGAAAGGGGTTTTACAGTCAGCAATTAAGGCTAGGTTAAGGAGTTCATCAGTAACAAATCCTTGTCCAGTTAACAAATTGAGGCAGGATTATTAAAGCCAGTCCACCATTAAGGGGACCACATTGGCAACAAGCTTCTCCAAGGATCGAGGGCCCCTTTCCCAGGTCGGGCTTGATGCCTGGAGCCACAGGGCGGCACAGAGCTCACGCTGCCAAAACAGTGGAGAAAGTACCTACTTTTCAGTCATCTTCCCAAAGGAGTCCTGATGGGGTGCTGTAGGATAAGAGCTGAACCACAAGGTTGTCGGTTCAAAACCACCAGCCGCTCCTCAGAAACCCAATACAGTGTGGGGATGAGTCGGAACCGACTGGACGGCACACACCAACCACAATCTTCCCTGAAAATCTTTCCTAACGCCTCCTTGGAGGTGTGCGTGGATTCCATTCTGGGAGATTTGTTGGATAAACAAAGCGCTTGAAGCTTGACTCTGAGACTTGAAAGCTGACTGAGCAAGGTTGTGGGGGAGGGCTGAGAGGGGGTTACAAGTGACTTTAGTGAAAGACTAAAGCTCGGGACTGCTGCGTCCGCACCTCAAGAACCTATTGTACGATGCCAGCGGGAGAGACCCAGGCGCCAGGGATGTGGAGGCCGGAGTCCCAGGCTGCCCAGTCTCCCGCGCCAAGTGGGTTCCGCAGACTTTCCAATTATCAAGAGAATTGAGCCAAGGATTGGGGCCACTGATTCTAGACTCACTGGTGTAAATGCTGTAGGATGGCCCCGGTTCCGTGTCTGAGCTCTGTTCGAAGTCCGCGGTCCCCTCCGGTAGGGCCTTGCCCAGCCCCATTCCACCCACACTGGCCCCATCCCCTTTAGGGCAGTGGAGGCGGCATCTTCAGCCAGCAGAGGGCAGAGCTGGGCGCTAAGAGCTGACGACCCCGACGACGCACGGAAAATTCGGATGTGGGCTGAGGGCGTAGCGCGGGGTCCCAGGACTCAGCAAGGGGTGCCCGGGAAAGGAACGTCTGCGCTGGAGAGAAATTGGGCGGTTAGCACGGTCTGCAAACGTCAGGGCCCGTGCACGCACGAGAAGACTGGTCCACAAAGGAAATCCACGAGCAGTGAAAAATCCCATAATGGCGGGGTGGCTGTTGGCGAGAGCACTGCTCTGGAGCGTGGCAGTGATGGGTTCCCCGCGACACCTCTGACTGTGGGCGTCCACCCGGCTGCGCCTGGCTCGGTACTCCTGTGGGCCAATCTGAAGGGTCCTACCTGGCTCCGCCCCTGACGTTCTAGAGACCAGCCCTTGGCCCCTCCCAAACCCCCACTCCCCGGATCTGCAATGGAACTGGCAGCTACCTGGAATAGCAGACGTCTGTCGTCAGAAGTCCCCAAGGCGTCTATTTTAGGTTGGCTGAAGCCAAGTCGACCTGAATTAAGGCTGCCTTGCTCAAGGTATCTGTGCTTAGTGTCCCGTAAGATCACGTCCAACAAGTTCTGTCCCCTCAGTGGCCACTGATGGTATTGCATGCGGCAAATCTGCAGCATCGTAGAATACTTAAGCACCGTTTCCCCAGTGATGGAGGCTTGGCTTGGTGTAGGGGGAGGTCTTTCCCTCGGGGTCGCTGAAGGCTGTGACCACCCCAAACCCGACGCCAGCACAGTCTAGAGGCACCCTGCCTCGGCACCCTGCTCTCAGAGTGTTTCAGTGTTGTCGGGGCTTTAGTGCTCCCAAACTGCTCTCACCTAGAGCTTAATGAGTAAGCACTGGCTTACTAGCCCTCCTGCTTCCAGGAGCCAGCAGCTTCCCCGCCGCCCTGAGAACTGCCCCGAGAGGCCGACCTGGGGAGCTGGTGAGTATGGGATGGGTCCTTGGAGTCAGGATGGACAGACAGAAATGGGTTGACACAAAGGCTTGGGCCCGAGACGCGCGTCCGAAAGGGGCCCGAGGACCCGCACAGGAATCCGAGGCCGCGGATCGACAAGGCCTCCTTTCGGCTCGACTGCAGGGGCTCCGACCGGGAATTAGGGGCGCTCCTGGACCAGGGCCGGCTCCAGGAGCGCAAAAACTTGCGAAACCCTCCACTTGGATTTTTGGAGTCCTCACCCTGGAAGTGTCGGTCCTGACGGTAAAGCGCAGCGAGGCGGAGCACTCCAGGCCACGCCCAGAATGCGGCACCTACCGGGACTCGAGCTGCACAGAACTGGCAGACTGCGAGTGCAATTTGGGAGGCAGGAACGCGGTTCCGTGGGCCGCCGAGAAGAACGAGTCTCTAAGCTCCAGCTCTAAGGACTAACGTCATCTACCCTGGAAGGCCGGAATCTAGCCCAGAGCCAGTGACCTGGAGGAGTTTGACACTTAGCTGGCGGGAAAATCCGGGATGGGGCCGCCATTGTCAATGCACTGCACCTCTCTCACCTAGAGAAGGCGGTGTTGTTGCTAAGTGCCACCAAGTCGGTTCCGACCCATAGCGACCCTGTGTAGGGTTTCCGAGGAGCGGAGCGGCTGGTGGGTTTGAACCGTCGACCTTACGGATCAAACTAACCTTGTGATCTAGTGCATAGTCCTGTAGCGCCACACCAGGATTGCCCTTCCGATTGGGTTCTTCAAAGTCGCTGGGCCCCCACCCCTGATCCTTGCCATTGTCGGAGGTACTTTTGTCTACCGCGTTTACAGAGCCCCCCCCCGGGAGAACTCGTTAGAGAACCCCGAGTTCCTGGTTCTCTGCTTTCCCTGACCCACCCGCCATTCCCGTCCCACTCGCACTCCGAATCACCCCACACTCCCCGCTGGCCCGAGTACGCTAACCTGAGTCAAAACAAACCAGCACGTTTAATTCTCCTCTCGAATATTGAAACTACTTATACAAACAACTCTTAACGCTCCTCCAGTCTCCCCCTTTCCCGGATTGTGGTTATTTGTGGTCACCAAGCCCTCCGGTAGCCGTCAAGAACAGATCTTTCGATCCCTGAGGCCTGGAGGCTCTGGGGGCGTGACAGTGGGCGGGAGGATCGGGCTGCTTGCCCTACGCAGCAAGGCGGGGGGTCTGCTGGGGGTGGCAAGGGTCTCAACAACAGTCCAGAGGGTACGCACTCCCCCGCGCGTCCAAGCAGATGCGTGTCCCCAACTGAGGCCTGGTGGTGACTTGCAAGAGGGATCTGAGAATGGCCGAGTGGGGGACCAAAGGAGATGGTGGGAGGTCAAAGACTACGCGTGCGGATCGGTTTCGCTCGCAGGACTGCCGCCTCTCACTACCTTGTCCTCGTCCTTTAGACGAGTTGCCAAGGCTTCGCGATGGCCTGGATATGTTCCTTGGCCTTCAGGCGCAGCGCCGCGATACTGCTGTTGCGCGGGTCCGCCTCATCCAGCGGGCACTTGTCCCCGAAGTCGGGAGCGCATGGGTAGGTGGGCGGCAGCGGAGGCCCGAGCGGAGGCAGGCCGGAGCCCAACGGCGGCGAGTTCAGGAAGGGCGGCGGTGGGGGTGTGTAGCTGGCCGGCAGGCTGGACGCCGGCGGCCCAAAGCCCGGCAGGCTCTGCAGCGATGTAGCGCCCCCTGCCGGCAGCGGCGACCCAAGCCACGACTCCAGCGGCAGGGCGCCCCCTACCGGCCCCCCACCGCCGCCCGGGCCTGAGCCCAGGGGCGCCAGGGTAGCTGAAGGAGGCGAACGGCGGAAGGAGAGCAGCGGCGAGTCCTGCAGTTTCATGGACGACACTTCTAGCTTCTCTTGCCGCCGCCACTTAGCACGTCGATTCTGGAACCACACCTGTGTAAGGCAACAACAGTGGCCGTCAGGCTGTGGCGGAGGCTCGGGCGCGCCCCTGTTCCTGAGCCCAGAGAGCCCAGCCAGCTCGACCCGTCTCCACAAAGGACCCTGGAGTCGGGCTTCGATCTTCCTTTCTCCTATCGTCCTCCTCTTGCTTTTCTTTCCCATCTTCACTTTCTCCCTTTTCCCTCTTCCTTCTTGCTTTCCCCAAATCTCTAATACCATCCCTGTATTCTGAGGGGTTCCCACCCTTCCCTCCCGCCTTTCCCTCCTTCTCCCCCCATCCCCTCGCCCATAACTCTGGCTGTATCTCTTTTCAAATCTTGGCCCAAAACAAAGTGGATTTAAGCCTGGAATCGGACCACAGGATTTGGGAAACCAGTTGACAATTCTCCTGACTTTGCTTTCTCCCAGTGTGGTACAGCTTTCTGTGGCTGTGTTTGTGTCTCCGACTGCGCTGTACTAACCCTTTATCTTGACTGTAAATATTTTTTGTTGTTTTTAAGTGCCGTAGAGTCGGTTCCAACCTATAGCAACCCTGTATAGGGTTTCCAAGGAGCGGCTGGTGAGCTTGAATCGTAGACCTTGTGATTCAAACCGGCTTTGCAGTCCAGCACATTAACTCACAACACCACAACAAGACTCTTGATTATAAGCATTTGTTGTTGTTGTTGTTAAGTGCCATCGCGTCGGTTCCGACCCACAGCGACCCTGTATAGGGTTTCCAAGGAGCAGCTGGTGAGCTTGAACCGCTGACCTTGAGATTACTAGCATAGGTATACATTAATGTAACTGACAATTTTGCATATTACAACTATTTTGATGACTGGTTATAATGATTCGAAATGAGCAAGTGAGTTTATTTTACCCCAGCATACATGGCGCTTTAGGATAAACACTGGACAGCTAACTGCAAGGTTAATGGTTCAAACCCACCAACCACTCCTCGAAAACGCAACACAGGATTGCTATGATTAGAACCGACTCCCGGCACTTAACAACATATTTGAATTGCTGCTTGAAATAAGATTTTCATTGATATCTATGTAGTATTTCTGATGTTTCTTTTCAACGAGTTTCAAAGGACTAATGGTTTCTTTATTATATCTGCTTTACAATGTGGTGTTAATTTTAACATTTTACCTAATATGTTAGTTCAATGAGTTCCAAATTGTTGTGTTTTTCCCCTTTTACATATAGAAAATCTTTGTCAAGGGTAAAGTCGGGTTTCTTATGATGAAACTTCCAGTTACTAAGGAGCGCTAACAATGTAGTTACAGGAGCTCTGGTAGCGTAGTGGTTATGAATTGGGCTGCCAACCTCAAGGTCGGCAGTTCAAAACTACCAGCAGTTCCGTGGGAGAAAGATGAGGTGTTCTGCTCCCGTAAAGATTTATAGCCTCGGAAACCCTGTGTAGGGTCACTATGATTCCAGGGTACTTAACAACAACAACAGCGTAGTTGGAGTCCTGGTGTGGCATTGTGGGTTCATGTGCCAGACAGCAAAGCCGTTTAAACTGAAGGTCGGAGGTTCAAGCTCACCAGCTGCTCCTTGGAAACCCTATACAGGGTCGCTATGGGTCGGATCCGACTCGACAGCACTTAACAACAACAACAGCGTAGTTGGTTATGAGCTGGGCTATTAACCACAAGGTAAGTAGTTCGAATCTACCTGTTGCTCTGCAGAAGAAAGATGAGGAAAGATTTACAGCCTCAGAAACCCTGCGCAGGAACACTATGAGTCAGAACCAACTTGAAGGCACTTAACAACCACTACCACAAAGGGTGTAATTAATGTTACCCACCCTTAGCAACACAGAGAACTGGCTGGTTGAGGGGGCAATCAGAAAAGAACTTTGCCCAAACTGATGAAGGGCATTGGGGGACTAGTTGCAACCTTAAAAATCATAACAGTTTTGAGTTAATACCAGGAGGCAAAAAACCTAGGATAGTTAAGAAAACACCATGCCGCCTAGCAGAGCAGGGCAAGCAGGTGTGAGGCTGGCATTTGGGGATGTGGGGGAAGACAGAGTCAAAACAAAATGCAAATTTCCTTGCCCCCTTCCCATAAAGTGATTCTCTATACATCACAGCCCAGAAGTTTCCCCGGAAGGAAGTGTATCTGGCAGCAACAGAGCTTTGGTGAGAGTTGCCCCCCACTACCTCCTGAATGCCCCACTCCATTCAGGTAGTATATGCGGTCATAGGCCTGAAAATGGGGGAAGATCTGCTACTATACGGCTATGAACAACATGAACCTCTCTCCCTAGCCCCCACCATGGATTGCATCATGTTGTCATTGTCGGTGGTGCTTTGGATACCATTTGACTCAAAGCAGCTCTATCTATAGGTCAGAGTAGAACTGCCCTATACGGTTTCCAACCACCCACTTAAGGAAAGGAGCCCTGGTTATAGCGGATTATAAACTGGGCTGTTAACTGCAAGCTCAATAGTTCAAATCTACCAATGGTTCTGTGGGAGAAAGATGAGGCTTTCTGTTCCCTTAAAGATTCATAGCCTCGGTTGCACACAATCACCGCCACAGGGAACAGAAAGCCAGGTCATTCCGCAGAGCTACTGGTGGGTTCCAACCACCAACTGGGTTAGTAGGATAAGCACTGGACCAAAATGTCATTTGAATTACAAGGTCTTGGCCGCTCCTTAGAAACCCTCCACAGGGTCGCTGAGTCGGAACTGACTGGACCACACTTAACGACAGCAACAACAAAGCCCCGTGCTCCAATGAGCCACCAGGTCACATCAGAGCTGTGTGTTAAGACAGCCTGGCAGTCGCTGAGAAGTCATGACTTAACGGAGGAGCCCAAAGCCTATGATTTGTTGTTGTTAAGTGCCATCGAGCTGATTCTGACCCATAGCAACCCTGTATAGGGTTTCCAAGGAGCTGGTGAGCTTGAACCACCGACCTCGCAGTTCAGATGACTTTGCAGTCTGACGCGTTAGCCCATGAATAGGTAGCAACGAAGGAAAAAGACTGAGTCAGAAGTGGGCTCAGGTATGAAGGGTGCCCAGTGGCCGGTTGGCCTGTGTTTGCTAGGGCACTTTAAAGCTGGCCTCTTCTCATCTTTCTCCAATTCAGTCCCTTTCCCCACTTCACCCTCCCTCCTCAGGAAACAGAATTTCCTCCCCCTCAATAGAATCATTGCTAATTTACTACCTTAAATTAGGAGAAATGGAAATGTCTTTGCCAGTTAATCCTAAATCACATTAAGGAACCTTTTCTTTAAACCATGACTTTTACTCATTACTTTAACCCCTTCAACTAAGCAGAAAAGACAAAGGCAAAATCTTGCTCTCACTCCCACCCCGTTTAAGACTAAAAGCCCCGAACACCTAAGAGGCCTTACTTCCTGGAAATCTAATTTATTAGACACACATCACCCCACCTCAGTCCCCCTACCTTTCAGAGACGGTGAAGTTCATTCCCAATCTCCTTTTCAAGACTCTGTAAACGCTCCCCCTTTGGAAATCCTGCCAGACTTTTCACAGATGACTAGCAAATATTTCAGGCTTTCAAATATTTTAATGGTCAGGGATTAAAGATAATTCAGCTTTAATTAAAGCGAAAACCCCTTTACAATAAAAAGATATGGTCTTGGCAGCGGAAATTTCGGTTAGGTGTGCCCCCAGAGAAGTAAAAGTCAGTTTCTTAAACAAATCCACTGAAAGTTTCAACTGAGAGGCGCCAGGCTCAGCGCACGAAAACCAGGTTTTCGCTTGCGGCGCGGTGCTGTGAGCGCTACTCGGGTAGAGAGCGGCATTTAAAGTCCCAGTCTAGGTACCCTTGAGTTGCTCCCGGCCTACATTACCTTCTTGCTCAGCTCCTTTCCACCTCTACCCAGGCAGAGGCTAAAGAACCGCCAGCCTTTACATTTTGCAAGCAATCCTCAATTCCTCGTCATTCCCAAGTCCTCATTTTATCTTAAAAGAGGGAGACTCCCAAAGAGGAGGTCAGACCAGTAGAAAAGCCCGTTTGCTGGAAAACTGCGTGGAAAACGTGGACGATGTGGACGGTCCTTTGGGCTCTGAGCGAGACAAACCGAGGAAGGCCAAAGGGCAAGGTACCACCGAAATCCGAGGAAGCCTGGCGTCCAGGGCAGCTCTGGATGCAGCATGGGCCTCGGGCCCTCCCCCTTGGGTCACTGCCCCCCTGAGTACTTTACCTGAACCCGGACCTCAGGGAGGTTGACTTTCCCAGCCAGCTCCTCGCGGCTGTACACGTCGGGGTAGTGGGACTTCTCGAAAGCGCGCTCCAGTTCGTGCAACTGGTACGTGGTGAAGGTCGTGCGGTTCCGCCGATGTTTCTTTTTGGGTGGTTCCTCCTCCGCCAGCTTTGCGTCGCCTGCCGCGGGCCCGACCGGCAGTCCAGGGCTCCGCGTCTCTCCAGACTCCTTGGAACAGTAGGGGCGAGGGGCTGGGGGATGAGGCCCCGCATAGTCAGAAACATTCCCCGGGACTCCTCGGGACCCTCCGCGCCTCCCGGAGCGCAGGCCGGTCGCTGCGGACTCCGCCGAGACGGCCCTAGGGGAGCCAAGGGTAAGGGCTGCGAGGGGTCCCCAATCATTTTCTGAACCAAGTTGGAAGCTCCCGCCTTAGACACCTCCCCGACCCCGCGCGCAGGGCCCTTAATAAAAGTTGTGCATCGGCTCTTTGCAGAACATTGGAGGCTAAGGCCTCCGACGGCGCGCTCCTCTTGCAGGCGTCTAACTTTGGGCGCAGAGGCCCGGCAGCCCAGGGAGCGCACTCACCATCGTAGTCGGGGCCGGATTCTCTGGAGGTTTCGACGCTGCCGCCAGGCGCCAGGGGGTGGGCAGACCGTGCGCCCAGCCTCCGCTCCCGCTCCTTGGCGCCTCGGGCGCTGTGCTCTGTCGGGAAGGAGCCGAGGAGCCCGTCGTCCTTGGAGAATCCCAGGATAGCCTCGATGCTATGCAGGCGCGCGGGGTTGGCGCCTGTGCCACGGAGCAGGTGGCCAGCGAGTGCAAAGCTGCCGTCGGCCATGGCAGGCGCACAGCCGGGCAGGTGCATGGGGAGGCGGGAAGCTTTGAACAGTGGGACAGAAGCTAGACGTCGACTTTGCCTCGGGCGACCGTTGCACCGGAGGGGCGCGCTCCAAGGTCAAGCTCGGCGGGCAACGCTGAGAGCCCGGCTAGGCTCTCTGGAGCCGGGCGAGCACTCGGCCGGCGGCCGCTTGGGTACCCGCAAGAGTCAGCAGGTTGAACTCCCGGGGCCTGGGTTCCTGACGCCTGGGGCAGCCGGCCCTGACCCGCCCCGTTTCCAGGCTCCGCCCACTACCCCGCCCCCTCAGCGGGTGGTTTAGACCCTCACAGCCTCCGGGCCCTAGAACTGTATCCAGCTACCAGCACCCCAAATCATCCAACCTCAGGCTTTCGATTTGCTCCATAAAGCACAGGTGTGGATAGAGACCGACGGGAGATTCTAGCCAGACCCAGGGGTCCTAGATCTGCCTCAGTGGGTTCAAGTCTCCATTTGGCTCGCAATCGGACTCACCACCTTCGTGGGGCTCACCTCCCCTCGGGCTAACTTCCTACCCTCCTCGGGCTCGCCTCCCTCCTAGGACTTGCCTCCTCCGTGGGCTTACTTCCCACGCAGAGCTTCATGTCCCGGATGGGCGTCCCTCTCAAGGGCCCGGAGTGGGAATCGGTCCTCTCTTCTCCTTGGTTTGAATGTCCCCCTTTTCTTTAACCTCGTGGAGACCCCTCGTCACTGTGCTCCGAAGGCCTAGACGGGTAGACTTGGTCTGGGCATCTCCGTTTTAGCAGCTCCTCCCTGTCCCCTTGGGCTTGCGCGCGGGCAGGCGTCCTCACCCCAGCGCCCGCTCCAGGAGACAGCGAGGCCAACTGTGCCTCAGGCCCGGTGACCTCACGTGCCCGACGGTCCCCCAGGAGCCCCGACTCGGACAGGCTGTCGGCTCCGGCCCCGCGGGAGACTCGCCTGGTGCTCCCTACTCGCGAAGGGCACATGTGTGGCCCTCACCCCCAACAATTCTCCAGGCCCAGGAGGTGACACAACCTCAGGCTGCCTAGGGGGAGGACCTCCTCTGGGGGACATGGCCTCACGGTCTCCGAGGGTTAGAGTAATCCGCTTGCCTTTTTTCCCCTGGAGACTTTCGTGGTCCAAAGTGACGAACTCATAGGAGAGATGATTCTTCAGGACGAGTGTGTTGTGTTCACATCCCGCATTGCTGGTTGGGATGGCAACTTGAACTTCCGCCTCTCTCAATTTGGACCCTGAGCGGAGGAAGTGGGTTTCCAGGGGGTCACTGAACCGTTGTTCAGAAACGCGGACTGAAACCTTGTTCCAGAAACGCAGGGACCTCATTCCTTATAGCGCCTTCTGCGTAGGCGCTTCTGCCTCTACTATTGTTAGGTGTCCTTCAGCCCGTTCCAACTCACAGCGACCCCATGCGACAGAGTAAAACTATCCTGTGGGGGTGTCTTAGATGGAACCCTTTACAAAGGATCCTTCTGTTTAAAGTGCTCAATTACCAACCAAAAGGTCAGTGGGTCAAGCCCACCAGCGACTTCGGGGAAGAACGATGTGGCAGTCTGCGCCCATAAAGACTGTTATTAAGTGCCATCGAGTCAGTTCTGTATAGAGTTTCCAAGGAACTGGTGGGTTTGAACCGCCGACCTTATGGTTAACAGTGCTGTACTTATCCTACAGCGCCACACCAGGACTCCCATAAAGATGGTTTTTGTTAAGTGCGGTGGAGCCACTCATAGTGATCCTATCAAGTGTTTCCGAGGAGCAGCTGGTTGAGGTTCAAACCGACTTTCTGTCTAGTGCCCTGTCCTACAATGTCACATCAGGACTGCCCCTTAAAGATTTGATGTTGCTGTTGTTCTTAAGTGCCATCGAGGTGGTTCTGACTCATAGCGACCCTGTATAGAGTTCCTGAGAAGCAGCTGGTGGGTTTGGACTGTGGACCTCCTGGTTCACAGTCCAGTGCTTACCCTAGAGCGTGTAGGATCGCTGAGTCAGAATGACTCCATGACAGTTGGTTTGTGAACTTTCTGGAAGCAGATCTCTGAGGCCATCCATTCACTGCTGCCTACATTCAGACGGGCCACCAGCAATGTCCTGGGCCATGGCAGCATGACAAAAGAAATGAGAGGCAGGTCCCAGGCCCTTGAAGTGTTTCACACCCAGCCTGGGAGAGGAGACAAAGGAATAAACAAGGCAGAGGCACACAGCCTGGGATCCTATACCTTTAAAAAGATTTTTAAAGCCCCACTACCATCTAGGAGCTCTGCTAGCATAGTGGTTACAAATCGGGCTGCTAACCTCAAGGTCAGCAGTTCGAAACTACCAGCTGTTCCACGGGAGAAAGATGAGGCTTTCTGCCCCCATAAAGATTTACAGCCTCAGAAACCCTGTACAGGGTCACTATGAGTCGGAACTGACACCACGGTACTTAACAACAACAACAACCATCTAGTGGACTCTGGCCCTATAGGACAGTGTAGAACTGCTCTTTAGGATTTCTGAGACTTAACCAGAGCCTCCTATTTTATGAAGATTACAGCCAAGAAAACTCTATGAAGCAGTTCTCTTCTGTATTACCTGGGGTTGCCGTGAAAGTTTTTATAATTCTCCCACATGTTACCTATCTTTTGATCCTCACAACTCTGTGAGATGAGCTGGGCAAATATTTTTGTGCCCATTTTGCAGAAGGGAAAACTGAGGCTCACAGTGATACAGCTATTAAGTGGAGTGGTCAGAATTAGACTGGCTGACTCCTGATCTGGTATTTACTGGCTGCAGCTTATTTGTAGAGATTATTGGAGAGTATGATATTCAAAAATAAAGAAAGAAAGAAGAAAAATACAAACAATCTTAGCCTGCATTCAGTCTTTAATCCCTCTCTGGGGCTGAATCCTAACGGCCAGCTTATCTTTCTGAAGAAATGTAGTATGTCAACGTCTGCAGATACTGCTTCTGGTAGGACCAAACAAATGCTTGGAAAGTTCTGCCACTAGTCTGCCCCTAGCTCCTTGCCAAGCATTTAGGTCATCAAAGACAGGGCCCTCCCATTCCCACCTTCATCTCTTGAACACCGTGCTGGCATCTGCAAGATCCACCACACCATTTATGTAGACGGAGTGGGTTGGGGTGCTGAGGCCTTGGTGACCACAGGGCAGCCGTAGGGATAATTAATTAGTATTTGTAGTTTCCCTTCTGGCTAAGGATGCATTTTAAGTAAACTTCCCCAATATTAAATTGATCTCCATAATCACCACTAAACAAAGATTGGCTGCATTTTCTTAAGCGGCTGCCCACATGCTGCTAAGGCGCTTATGGCCTTGTTTTCCAGAGTTAATTCCCTTTGGGACTGCCCAGCTCTCCCTAATAGGTCCAGGTGAGGTTAGCTTTTATTTACTGTTTATTTCAGAGTCTCAGGAGAAAAGCAGAAAAGACTTCAACAGCCGCTGACGAGGGCCTACAGGGGAACAGGGCCAAGTGGGACAAGGGGAGGTCGGGCTGCCTTTGTGTGGGGCATAAAGAGCTAGTCAATCGCATTGTGGGCGCGGTGGAGGGTACTCCAAGCAATCAGCCAGGGGTCATTGTTAGGGACTAATCTACATGTGTATTTCCCAAGAACTCGATTAGGGAAGATGAATGGGCTCGGCCATGTCCCTAATTCTTCCAGCACGGAGCTGCATTTTTCCAGCAGTTACGCCAGCTCATAATCAGGCCTGCTTCAGCAAAAGTAAGGAGCCTGGCTTCTGAACTCCACCTCTGTTTAATTCATTAATTGATTAGATGGATCAAAGAAAATGCCCTCCTCCCAGCCCCCACCTGCTTGCTGGCCCGAAACAGCACTGTTGTTGTTGTTAAGTGCTGTGGAGTCGGTTCCGACTCATAGCGACCCTGTATGGGAACTCCAAAAGTCACCAGTAATGATCTGAAGTCAGAGGCTCATTCATCTTGGATGAATGGATGGATGCATGAGGTCTAATTTCTGGACATGTTCTGGGTGGACTGTTTCACTTTAAACACTCTTAAGAGAGACAGACAGAGTGACTGATGGGCTGGGAGGGAAGATGTTCACCAATTGAGTGGGTGTCATTTGACCCAGCCACCTGTCATTTCACTCACCTCCAGAGATTATTTTTAAGTTTGGGTGAAACCTGTCTGTTTAAGAGCAAATGACAGAGCTGAGAGCGAAGTGTCCAGCTGATACGAAGTGAGGGGAGACACACAAGAACCGCCAGACTTGTAGGTAGTACCCATTCAACCTAGCTTCCTTCCATGGCTTGATCAGAACTCAACTAAAGAAGATAAAAACATTTTTTTTTTTTGCTAAAGGAAATGTGTCAATTGCTACAATATGATGAATTTGATCTATATTTATGGCTGTTGTTGTTAAGTGCCATCAAGTTGATTCCGACCCATAGCGACCCTGTATAGGGATTCCAAGGAGCAGCTGGTGAGCTTGAACCACTGACCTTGCAGTTCAAATGACTTTGCAGTCTGACGTATTAGCCCACACACCACACCAGGACTCCATTTATGGATGTAGGAGCTCTGGTAGCATAGTGGTTATGAATTGGGCTGCAAACTTCAGGGTCAGCAGTTCAAAACTACCAGCTGTTTGGCTGGAGAAAGAGGACGTTTTCTGCTCCCGCA